CGTGGAGGTGAGGAGAGGGAGCAGAGTCACGCTTCTTCTCGCTGGACCCGAGATTGTAGACTGCAAACTCCTTGAGGTTGAAGGGGCCTCGAATGTGGACAGACAGCTATAGTATGTCAGTTTATACTGTGAAATAGCCGAGTGACGACGGTCAACTTACATCCTCACTCAGAGGTCCAAGAGCACCGTCGTAAGAGAAGGGCTCCTGGTCACAAGATCCATCATCTCCCATCTTTGTAACAGCCTTGAAGCTTCCACTGCTGGAGAATCCCTCATAGAGGATCTGATCAATAACACCGCAGAACCAGTTTCCGCCTTCGTTGACGGCGCTGCCAGAGCATTGCTGTGTGAGGGCCGTGGCGAGGCCCGTGTATGCCAGAATGGAAAGATTGGTGACCTTCATGGTTTAAGGTCTTTAATATATTCAGTCTGAGTGACTATAGATATTTTGAGACCTGTTATCGAGTCTCTGAGATCGTCGATATCAACAGTTGATAGGAGTGTTTCGGTGAATGTCTTCAAAGAGTGGACTCAAAAAGACAACAGAGATTCCAACAGATTTTTAAGGAGTGACTAGAAGCAAAGATAAAAGAGTGTATAGTTCAATAAAGCAAGAAATGCCGAAAAATGCACGACTGATATGTTTCAGTACCAACCTCTAGGAGGAACTCGAAGGATGGGGAGGATTTCCATCCTTCGGTGGGGAGATGGGCGGTATTAAAGAGCATCCAAATAACACAACAACTACTACTAGCTACACTACAACTGCTGCAGGACTCAAAGGGGTAAAGGAGCCCAGCGTCACCTCCAAGTCTGGGCAGCAGATCTCAATTCTGTTCCTGGCACAACCCAAGCCTACCTAGAGCTAATAGTGTACGGAGGGAAAATGGCCAAGATAGGTTGGTGGTGTATGTATTTGTTTCAGGCTACGAGGGGACTGTAGAGCCTGGGCCAATTACAAGCGTCAGATGACTTATTGAGAGTGGTTAATAAAGGGAACGGCCTGGCCATGCTGCTTTGGGAAGTTGAGGGCATCACAAAGAGCCACGCTTTGGCGTGTGGATGATGGCGCAGCGGTCTTGGCTCTGGGCCCGTCTCTCGTTTTAGGCTGGGGGCCAAGATGCTTGATTAGACGCCGAGACGCCATATAAGATTGCATTTCCCACATGATATAATAATATTTGTTGTCTTTTACTCTGTGTGAATCTTCCTCCCGCATAATGAGTGACAACAGGCAGATCTGTGTGATACAAGTGACGGGCCTCATGAATATCAACGAATATCACACAACCAAGTCATAGCATCAACTACTACGGAGTACTACTAACAAAGGATCAACATTAGTCGAAACAAAAAAGGCTGGTAGTAGAAAGTGGGTGTGGTCAGTTCCCCTGCAACACCAAGAAAGGCCAACGCTTGTCTAATCTTGGCTTTCCTTGGCGTGTCCCCTGATTTATTTTTGACTCGTAATCGTCACCAGGAACAATCAAGAGCATACTATGTAAGAATGCCTTTGTCGAGAAGAAAAAGTCGGTCTCTGGAATGTCCACGTGCTGCTTGACTCGAGGTGCTCTTTTGGAAGTTAGCCAACCTATGCTAGTACATTTCCAGCCCCCCAAATATTAATGTCACATTTAAATAGTGGAGATGAGCATATCACTATTTCACCTGAACGATGCTTAAAGACGTCAGTCGTCAGTCGTCAGTCAATCAGTCATTTTCATACAATTGTCATGATGGTCACAAACTGTTCAGAAGCGTTTCTCTGTTAGACAAGGAGACATCAGCTTGAGCCCTAGCTGATACGTATATACTCCGTATTCGCTGTTGAATCGCGTCCTATTGGATCTGTATGGCCTCAGTTCAGCCACGACTAGGTTATGCTAAACAACTCATCAATGCTCAGCAAGTCAATCATCAACGTGCCATGTTGAATATTTCCGTCCTTTTTAATCATCAGATTTCCCGTTTCCGTCGACACATTCATGGAAAAGGCGGGAGTTCCATGAGAAGTCTTCTCTATATCACATTATTTTGAGACATTTTATGCCTGATGCGGAACTAGCTATAAGTAAAACTAGCCGTCAAACTCGGCTTGCAAGTCCAAGCTTTTCTGCTTTTTATGATCTCCAGATGCCATCGCCCTGTATCCCCAAATAATCATGCTTTTCCCATAACTACATGCAGACATAGTGATCTCCCTAGTCATCGAAACCACCCCATTCACCATCATCACCACTGTCCTCATTCGCCTGTAATTTCCTCTTCTTACTACCCTCAATAGCACCGCGGCGGTTGTTCTCCTTTCGTCTCTCATACCCGCTCTTGGACGTGATCTTGGCCTTGTTTCCACTCCGGCGCGCTTCCACACCTCGCTTCTTGAGCTTCTTGCGGTCTGCCTTGCCGACATTAGGGAGAGCATCTAGGAGCCACTTCTGCACCCCAGCCTCATCTCCTGTTTTGCCAGCCTGCTTCTCGCTTGCAGCGATAACATTGGCGACCATCTTGACGAAGGGAATGTCCTCCTTGGTGTAGAATGTGACCGCCACGCCACCTTCGCGACCTGCTCGGCCTGTTCGTCCTGCGCGGTGGACGTAGCCCGCGCTGGAGCCGGGGACATCGTAGTTGACAACACCGTTGACTCCGGCAAAGTCTACACCTCGTGCCAACACATCTGTTGTGATCAGAACCCAGATGTCTCCAGCACGGAACTTGCGCATGATGGAAGATCGAGCGGAGTCTGTGAGACCACTGTGAAGGGCAGCTATTCTTGCTGCACCTCCAGCCTCTAGAGGAATGTCGTATTGTAGTTCCTCGTGCAGAGCAGTTGCTCGGTCAATTGTTTGCGTAAAGACCAAGAACGGAGGCCGGAGAGGAGGGCCCGAATCATCAGCCGCCGTAGGGTGTAGCAGCTGGCGCAATGCCAGCAGTTTACCTTGCTCAGTCGCAGTGTAGATAAGCTTGTGAGCAATGTTTGGAACAGCCGTATCCTTAAGACCAACGACTAGTCGCACAAAGGGCTTCGGTGTGATACCTAGCGACTGTGCTCTTGAAGTCAGCTTCTCTGTAACCATAGACTCAATGTTTGAGCCCATCGTAGCAGACCAAAATGACACCCTCAGGTCGGGGTTTGTACATGCTGTCCAGTCAGACATCATGGCATCTCGGAAAAGAGGATCTAGCAAAACATCCGCCTCATCCAATATCAAGTCTCTAACAGTAGGCAGAACCTTTTGTGTGCTTGGAGGTCCCGAAGTAAGAAACTTTAGTAGGAGGAAGGGTGTGGTGACCAGAATGTCAGCCTTGGTGATTTGCTTGGGCTTGTCGTCTCCCTTGCTCTCATCCTCATCCTCAGAATCTGACTCGTTGTCCTCTTCATCCTCAGAGCCATCTTCCGCCATATCCACTTGCTCGGCTGAAAGTTGTGTGCGCTTCTTCATCGAAACGACCTTCAGCCGAGTCCCATGAGCAAGCTTCTGTCCTTCGCTAACGATCTGATGCACCAGCTCTCGAGTTGGTGCAACAATAATCGCCTCGAGTTCGTGAATATCGCCGAGGCTTTGCTGCGAGCGCCGGCGCAAGATATTGTTGATAGCGGGAACCAAGAAACTGATGGTCTTTCCGCTTCCTGTCGGGGCGATTGCGAGGAAATCGACTCCTGCTTCTAGTCCATCTTCATCTTTCAGGGCAGCCTGGGGGTGTACGAGAAGAGGAAGACTGCCCATCTGAACTTCAGTAGGAACTCGGTATCCCTGGAATACAAGATTATCGGCGACCTTGTTTGAGAGACCGTAGGCATTGCGCAGCTCGCCAAAGGAATCCAAAGGCTGTGGAAAGAGCTGCTTCTTTCCATCTTTCTTCACTTCGACAGCCGCCTTCTTCTTTTTCTTGCTCTTCTTGACCTTGGATTGATCCTCTGTCTTTGAGAGTAGAGTGATCTTTAATCGATGCGATCGTAGCAGCTGGCGACACTCGTCCTCACTCAACAGTCGAGACGGCCGTGTAGGCTTCGGTACTTGAACGGGCTCCTCCGTCTCAATAGCTGCCTTGACTACAGGCTCTGGCTTGGGGGCAAAGAAGTCGACTTCGGGGAGCTCATGGTGAGCTTCGGGTTCGGGCTCATTCTTTGTTCGCTTTCGCTTCTGGCCGCGGACCTGATCATGGTAGAGCTGGGGGTTTGTAGATGTGCCAGCCGAGGGCAGCTTCTGCTGAGAATTGCTAGAGTTTTGGCTGTTCTTTTGTGTCTTTTTAGTTCCACGGGATAGAACCTTGAGAATATCCATTGTAAAGGAAGGGTATGCGCTATAACGCGTGCTTGAGCAACGAGCTTGGGCTGAAGATCCAATGTGAAGAAAAGTGCTAGCAACTGAGAATTGCATTCAGAAATTTTGGTGGATCCATGTTGGCTTGACGGAAATCATTGCGGATAGTGGGGGTGGGTGGAGAATATGTGGCTGGTGGGTGAAAGGAGCCACAGCTGGAGCACCGCCACAACCGTTGAGATCTGCTAAGGTTACAGGCACCGTTCGTTAGTGTTAGTGGGCGCTATGGATGGTTCAGTAAATCCCCGACCCGAGATCGATGGGAAATTGTTAGCAACTGCACACTTTTTGAGCATCAGGAACGCTCCATGGATGATCCATTATGCGGGATCATCTCACCCAATGAAACTCTTGGTCTGCACAGTAAAACATGTTCGATTAGTGTCGATCTCCGTCATAATCTTATCCAACTTTCTGCTACAGGCATGAGCATGATGCATCCCAAGGTTGACGTCACTCTGGCTGCCGGGATAGCCAGCAATCAGGATTTGGAACTCCCAAGCATGGAAAATACGTGAAACTTGGTATTTCTGCTTCTACTTTTCTGTATTTTATGTCTTGCATTCCCCGTTTTCATTCTGCCCTGCATTGTCACTCTTGCATCTAAAAGCAGATCAGATCTTCAAACAAACTAGTACACACACACATCACATCTCTCCAACACAAACAACCGCCATCATGCCGACTATGCTTGGTCTCACCAACGATCGCTCGCCTCACGGGCTTAATGCGGAAGAAAGCAAATTCGGTGGCCCCTCCAGCCAAAGAGGCATGGAACTTACCCCGCGCCAACAAAACGGTAGCATTGTATCCGGCATCGAAGGCTCCGACTTCTTCAACGGCGGTGGCAAGCAAAAGGAGCACGACGCAGATGAGGAGTCAGATGAAGAAAACCTCAAGACCATCAAGGGCCGTAACCTCTCCGCCGTCAAGGAGATGGAGACTCTTCTCTGGCGTGCCCTCTGCGACAAGCCCAAGACTGCCCTCAAGTACATCGCCAAGGACGCCGTCATGTCGAACCGCTTCCTCTTCGGCGACCCTGTCCCCCGAACCGCTGACTCTGATCCCTCTCTAGAGGAAGAGATCAAGCACTGTGAGGAGTGGCTCGCCTACAAGATGCACGACCCCCAGCCCGTCGAGATTGGTCTCATGGCTGCTGCAATTGGCTACAAGCTCATCCTCTTCCGCCAACTCGACCAAGGAGATGGCAACTTTGGCATGCAGACCGTTCAAGCTACATGTTCGAGCTCCTGGAGGCAACTTGCTAGTGGCGACTGGGAGCTCACTAGTATGTTTGCTGGTTAAATGGTATGATGGTATGGATGATTTCATGAAATGGACAGGCGTTAAATGATGAATGGAGTATTGGTTGATGATTCGTGCCTAAACGAGCTACATCGTAAATATGAACTACAGGTTGCTTGCACATCAAATGTCTATGTAAAATCTTTGGTCATTCATTCAGTTGAATCTGTACGCAATATGAGGTGAATAATAAGGCTTCCATCATGTAATAAGCAACGCTTTATTGTCCACTATATAAGCTTCTTGATACCTTCATGTAAAAACAGTCAATGCCCACGCTTTAACTAAGATACTGGTAGCTGCCTCCAGACTCAAACTCTCCAGAGTCCAGTATTTCCCGGACATCACACATCAATCTAAGAAGTCCAACGTCTTGGACCAAGCCTTTCGATGATAATCTCGAAGGTTGGATCTCCCTTCTTGTTTGGTGGAGTTTTCTCTTTCAATGTGTCAATAAGATGCTTGATCCTCTGCTGTACCACATGAAACCTCTCTTCAGTACGAGCTTTTCGTCGATATACCATATCTTCTTTCCCAATAGTACACTCAAGGGAGACAGTTACGCCGCTACCTTCCTCGAATCGTATCTCGTTTATGATATCTGCAAGTGACATTCTAAAGAAGCTTCGTGATGGACACCATTGATAACTCGAGTACTATTCGGTGTGGTAGACAGTGAAGTCGATAGCGACCAGGCGGTCAGTTGCAAGTACTGTGCCAATAGAGTCAGGGGATGAGTGGTCACTGGCAGTTGGATCATGGCTAGGTTTTTGTTTTTTGGCATGCTTTTGTGCTTTGCCGTTCCTTTGTGCTTTGCCATGCTTTTGTTCTTTGCCGTGATCTTGTTGTTGATCGTAATCTTGCTCTTGGTCGTAGTCTTCTTCCCTGCCATAATCCTCTTCGTTTAAGTAAGTAGAAAATGGTTCTTCATGTTGTAAGTGCTCTGGTATCGGTGTATCGGGCCTTCTTCCTACGCCTGATTGGCTATCTTGAATCCCCATATCCTCTGTGATCGGAGGATTATTCGATTTGGACTGATCAACTGGAGAAGTCGGTATTGATTGCACCGAAAACTTTGGTGGTTCTGCATTGCTGTTCCAAGCCTCGACCGAAGAGGAGATAGGATTATCTTGACTTTGGGCATGGCCACTCTTTGCAGATACATCGTCATCTGGCGCTGGATCGCCCTTGTTGATTGTTTTATCCAACGCCATGCTGGGCGCCTCTACCATGCTACTGCGAGGCAATGACGATGACTGATCGCGGCTGCCAGATCCGTTGGGGTTCTTTGGACTATTTTCTGGCTGCTAGAAGATATGTTAGCACTCAACGAAGCAGAATGACAATTGCTCAATGCTCTGGGCATACAGTTGGGTCAATGCTTCTGACTATATTAGACATTCTCAAAATATCTTCCGGTTGGAGAGGACTGCTCTTGGGGGATCTCTTCGAGAATGGGGAAGGACATGGACAGAATTTGCTTCTCTTAGTGGAGGTTCGGTTTGAGTCAGAAGAACTTGCCATGGTTTTTGCGGTGGTGCTCGGATTGAAACTGTCCTAGCGATGTTGTTTCAAAAATATGCGCTTAATCTCTGTATCTTCTGACGAGTGTTTGATGATGATTAAAGAAAGTAGCCTTGCTGTGAGTGACTGATTGTATTGAAAATATTGTCTTGTGATGGATGTAAGGACGAAGACTGGGTAGGGACTCAGAAAGGATGAATAGCGAAGCTTCGGTATAGGCCAGGTGTACCTACCTTAAGAGGCATCTCAAAATCACAAAGGCAAGTTGGTCCCGTGGAAGTGGAAGGTGCCACTATCACCTTGAGGAGAGCTTCGAAGTGTGCCGAGGAAAGAAGGCCACGCAAGCTGTTCATGTCATAACAGTCATTGCTACCTATTGTCGAGCAGCCCTTGGGGGCAAGAGCAAGCATCTCAGACCTTGAATCATGAAGGCCGCCATATGATAACGAATACATGCATGTAGCCAAAGGTCCCCTTAAGCTAGGTAGTTGAAAGCTTACAGTATCCAAATCGCTTTGTTGCTTATGGTTAAGTCCATATGTTCCCTTACCACGGCTGAGCACCTTGCTATGGTGTCCCGAAGAGATAGAATGAAACAGCTGGAGACTGATGAAATGATTACATCGAATGTATCAATTCTCTAGCATAATAACAATAACATTATTTGAACTCATGACTGTGTTAAGGCCCATGATCGTTCCAGCACCGAATGCCATAATTTCCGTGCTCTTGTTGACGGCGAATGCGCTGAAGCACGTCTATCCTGCGAAAGATTTGCAGTAATAGTGGCTTCAGTCAAAATCCCCAGCTGGTAGCTCACTTTAGTGTAGGATCCGATCACGTCTTGACCGACCCAAGAGCCTGTATGACGATCTTATCCAGGCTGTGTGGCGGGCAACGGAATTCCAAAAACGAATTTAAATGTTCCCAAAGACATGATTGATGATGGCCAACTCATCATCTCCATTTCACTGTTAGTGCAAGGGCATCGCCAGGCCTTGTCTGCTGTTCCATATTTCCAACGTTTCAAGCTCTGATACCTTCAATGCGGCGTCATGATGTCGTGGAGCATGTTGCTAGTATCTCAGGGACTCGTGTCGTCATTTATTAGTTTTTGAAGTCGACGCCGGAGATTTGTGACTTGTAAATTTGATCCCTTCTTTCATCGATCCATCTCTTACGGGAAATCTCTCAGTGGCTCAATACTGATCTCGTAGTCCAGCCTCTTTCCGTGGTTTTTTACATCCCGTGTATCGCTCTCAATACAACGGAGAAACTGCTGACGAATGTTCCCAAAGACATCCTCGTTGTACAGATACACTTGCCGGAGACAAAACTTGGGCCCGTATTGGCGTATGCATAGCCCTATTATCAGTTCCTTATCGTTCATAGGCAAGACGTCCATAAACTGTCTGAGGGTCATTGTGAAGAATTCGACCGCTGAAATGCTGAACGGGTCGCCGTGACTGCCATCGTGAAAGGAAAAGGAGAATTGTAGAGGGGTGGGAGTATTTGTAGTGTGACCGCGGAGATGCGAGCTCAGTAACCGCCTGGCCGCTGCTATATCATAAGAGTTACTGCTGAGCTCTTCAATGTCTGGTTCAGACGTGGCAACAGTATCCTTCTGAGAGAGCGGCGTAGATCCATGCTTTACAGGCTGGTCTGTAACTGTCGTTTCTGTTTCATTTTCAGTAAGGCGAGTACTGCTATCCTCTCCAGTAGGTGGGACTGATCGTATCGCGGTTTTGAACCCGCAGACGATCTCATCCGTAGTATTCCTCACTGCCTCTGATGATAGCTCCTGTGTGTCATTTGTCCTTGAACCTTCACCCATGGAAGCAACAGGCGCAGGAACAGATTTTCGACTCGACCTCCTAAGGTCTTGTCTGGGGGAAACTGCTCGGGCGACTGATTCAAGCCGAACATTGGCATCTTGAGAAACCGGGTTGGCTGTGGGTGCACGGGAACCGTTGAGACGCGGGCTTTTTGTGCGTAACGGCGACGCCTCAGATTGCGATAGAGGCCTTTTTGTTGCCCGCACAGGCTTTTCAGTGTCAGTTGAGTGGTGCCCGCATTGATCAAGAGAATTCTTACACTTGTTCTTGAGGGTTGGCTGGCTTCATGAGATGTCTCAGGATTCACATTCTCATTCGCATTCTCATTCTGAACGACACTAGGTAGTGACGTCACAGGAGCTGAGGGCATAGTCTGACTCTGTACTGTACGTCTTATCTCCTCGATTGAAGGTAAGTCGGGAGAATCAGCAGGCTCTCTAGAGTCACCATGTTAGCATACATAGCTACCACATTTGTTGATACTAATAGCTCACCTCTTGAGGTAAGATTCACCAGACATGGGCGATGCTGGGGCATCAAATACTTGGTATTCGTAATCAGACTCATCGCTGGACAGATCAAGGGCAATAGGCTCGTCAGGCGCATCACCTCGCTCGAAGAGATTGGTACGCCTCTTTTCTTTGCGAACCTTTATGTAGTGTGATCTTCTGTTGTATAGCTGTCGAAAAAACAGCATGGTCAATGTTTTGATGAGCCTATACAGGACAGGTACAAGCCGACTGTCAGTCACTCATCCATCCAAGACGCGTCGGAAACAACAAGAGGAGATTAGACTGACTGTTGGGTATCCTGTGGATAACGGTATTTCTTGGTGTTTGCAGGAGAAACCTCCTCGGGCCAGAAGCGAGGACCATGATTCTGTCTGACGAGGAAATCTTTGGCCAGCCTGCGAATCTTTTGCTTACAAGGCTCGGAGGACCACTCCAATATATCTTTGTCGTCGATGATCTTTTCGTCTAAGAAGCGGTTCATGTGAAATTTACGAGCAGTGTTGAACTCATTGAGTAGCTTCTTATCAGCATCATCGCCAAACCCAAGCTCGCTGAGCAGTTTCCTGATCGGAGGCACGTCCTTGGTAGTCCTTGTGCGAGAGGAAAAATAAAATGGCCCGGTCCGACGCGCGGTGCCTTTCTTCTTTGAGGTCATGATCAGGACGTGATGTACGTACGTACGTACGTAGAGGACAATTCAATCCAGGGATTTGCAGAACAGGATTAATGAAAGAATGGGACGGCAGAACGGGGGGGCTATTTAGTTAGATTGGATGGTTCTGCAACGCGCCCCAGATTCCGACACCCCTGTCAGAGCCTCAGAGAAAAGGAGCATGGGGGGTCGGGTCTTCAGGGAACATTACAGTGGAGGCATGGTAACTTTCCATACATTACGGCCGCCGACCAGTTAGATCAGCGGATCATTGCAGTAATGCCGGGGCCAAGTCTTGCATGTTTACATATAAAACTACAGCTGCAGCAGAAGATTACACTAGCCATGCACGCTGTGATGCTGGTTGTCGGGCTGATGTCTCGCCTATTACACCTGATGGTGTCGCGCGCGGATCAGGCGACGGGCGGATGTGATAAATAAGAGTTTCCGATTTCTTGTTAGGGAATTGATGTCGTA